ACACACATTCAGTGCACGGAATATAATATGGGAAAAATTGAGGTTTATGCATTTTGGAGGAAGACGAGGAGAGGTGAATATTATTTGAATGGGGGGAAAACTGCAAAAAGATGCAACTCAGACAGAATTGTGGGTCCTCGTGCTTGAAAGATAAAAAGCACGTATCCATGTTCAGCAGGTAATCAGGAAGGTAAATGGACTGTTGACCTTTATTTCAAGGAAATGGGGGATAAAAAGGGAAGTATCGCTAAAACCGTACAAGTCACTAGCCAGATCACACTTGGAATACTTTAAACGGTTTTAGTCCCCTTTTATATAGGAAAGGCAGGCCACAGAACATTCACAAGATTGATCCCAATTTTCTCAGGAGATGAGATTTAACAGACTGCTCCTGTACTTATTGAAGTTGAGGATTGAGACACGACCTTTTATTGAAAGGTGTAAGATTCTGAGGGGCTTGACAGGATAGATTCAGGGAGATTGTTTCTCCTTATTTGAGAGTTGAGGACCAGAGGACACCATCTCCGAGTAAGGAGTCATCTTGTAAGACAGATGTGGAAGAAGTTCTTCTCTCATGGTGCTGAATCTGCAGAATTCTTTACTGCAGAGGGCTGTCGAGGCTGGCTGCTCAGTTTATCCAAGACTGAAATAAACAGACTTTTAATCAGTAAGGGAATCCAGGATTAGGAGTAAGGCAGGAATGCAGAACTGAGGATTATCAGATCAGCTCTGATCTGATTGAATGGTGAGACCAGACTCCGATGAGTTCTATTGTCAACTTCTGCTCCTACATTTTATGGTTTTATTCTTTTTCTGTATTCTCACTTGCTTCTGTTTTTATTTTCAACGAACTTCACAGGATATTATAGGAGGATTTGCAGTGAGGAGACTTAAAACCAAACATCATTTCAGAATCTGACGGAGTTCCAAGGTCATTGTAGCCTGAATATCATTGGTGCTTTTTCCTTCTATGCTCAAAATCCATTCACAGCAGGGAGAAACCATACATGTTGTACATGTGGAAAAGGCTTCAGCAGATCATCTGCTCTGTCACAACATAAATACAGTCACACTGGGGAGAGGCCATTTATCTGTTCCAAGCGTGAGAAAGGATTCACTCAATCATCCAGCCTGCTGCAACACTGGCAATTTCACACAGAGGACAGACCTTATCAGTGTCCAGATTGTGCCAAATGCTATAAAAGCTCTTGGGCCCTGATATCCCATCAACTTATTCACAGTGGTGAGAGACCCTTCATGTGCCCTCACTGTGGGACGGGGTTCAGACAATCATGTGACCTCAGTAAGCACCAGTGGATTCTCACTGGGGACAGACCATTCACCTGCTCACAATATGGGAAGACATTTGCTCAGAAATCCACCCTGCTGAGTCACCAGTGAATTCACACAGAGGACACACCTTAAATGCCCAGACTGTGCCAAGTGTTGTAAAAGTTCTGGGGTTCTGATGTCCCACCAACGTGTTCACACTGATGAGAGACCATTCAGGTGTTCCCACTGTGGGACTGGATTCAAGTGCTCATCCCAACTCACTGTCCACCAGCGATGTCACATTGGGGAGAGTCCATTCAACTGCACTGAGTGTGAGAAGGAATTTGCTGTGAAATCCAATCTGCTGAAATACCAACATGTTCACATTAGGGAGAGACTTTGAAAATGCTCAGACTATGGGAAGTGCTATAAAAGCTTTGCAGACCTGGTCACCCATCAACGTGTTCACACTGATGGAGAGCACCTGAACAGTCTCTCCTGCGGGGCTGGGTTCAAATGGTTAACAGGACTCTCTGTACACCAACGAACTCACTGGGGAGCAGCCATTCTCCTGCACTGACTGTGGGAAGGGTTTTGCTCATAAATCCAACCTGCTAAAACACTAACAAGTTCACGCTAAAGAGAGACCATTCACCTGCACAGAGTGTGGGAAAGGATTTGCTGTGAGTTCATGAGTAATTTTACTGTGAACATATCTCTGCTTCATAGTGTTCCTACCTGTCAGCCAGAAGGTCTGGTTTCAAGTCCCACTTGCTGTGGAGCTGTGCCAAAGAGTTTAACTATTTTTTAAATTAATGAATGATGTCCATTGGGGTTTGTTTCTGCTGAAGTTAATGAGCAGCTCAGTTAAAGGGATTACCTTTCTGGATTGCAGTAAAATAAATCCACTGTGTTAAATGCACTGTATCAAGCCATTTTAGTGTCACGAGTCTCTAAGTGCTCTTTGAAGTGATCTCCCTCTGACTGAAAGAGTTGGAATTTGCTGTTAGTCACATCCAGCACATAATTATATTCATTGTGGTCTTTTCCAATTGACCATTGGAAATTCCAGACTAGCTGTTAGGTGTTTAGAAAGAATTGACTTTTTATCCCATCAAGTAAGTGGTAAACACACAGCCTGCTGAGCTTTCTAATGTCCTTAGCACTTTCTTTTGAATTGTTTGCTGTTTCTATCTCCTCCATCTTGTGAGGAGCTCATGGAGCTGCTTTGTCAGTCAGATTTAGACAATCTGAGCAGCTGCCTCTTCCATGTTCCTCCCTTCCCTGACACTGTCTCTTAAGTTCTACCTTGTCTGAGGCCTGAACTTGTATCTTTCTCCACTTCCTCTCCAATGTCCAGAGCTCCTTGTGTCCGTGACACGCACCTCCTTGTCCCTCGGTACCACCACCCCCCCCCCCCCCCCCCCAACTCAATTGCTGAGCATCCATCCCCACCCACTCCTTCCCCGCCCAATTTGCTGATATTGTTGACCGTTCTTGCTCTCATCTGGAATGGTCCCTCTCACTTTAAATCCACTATCGCCATCCATGCAGAGAAAGCCAACTTGGCCACATCTCCAAACTTCCTTTCCTCTCCAAAGAATTGTAACTTCGTGACCACCAAGGATCTATCCCTGGCTCCTTCTAATCTCTTCTAGACATCACCATCAGACGACCTCATCCAAAGTTACTGCACTCATTTTCACACGTCCACTGACATTGCCCAAATTTGCCTCATCAAGCAACCCAACATCTCCATTACTCCACTATTGCTAAATTATTAGACTATGTATTCCACATTTCTGGAGTTTTTTATATTCATTCAGAGGATGTGTACATCACTGGCTCATCCAACATTAATTGCCCATCCACTACATTTAAGAGTCAACTGCATTGTTGTGGCCCTGGAGTCACCTGTAGACCAGACATGGTATGGACAGAGTTTCCTTCCCTAAAGGGCATTAATGTACCAGGTGGGTTTTTCCAACAATTAACTATGGTTTTACGGTTATTGTTAGACTTTTATATCCAGATTTTTATTGCCACAGTGGGAATAGAAACCATGCTCATAGAACATTATCTGGCTCTCTGCATTAATAGTCTGTGATAATATCACTAAGCCATCACCTCCATGTGCAGAAATTTGCTCCAGTTAAAAATTGTGAAAATCACTGCTTAATTCTGCCCCCTGACTAGCGAGTTCATCCCTCTACAAGGGAATTGATGCTGAACCACACTGTTCACAATCTGGGTCTCATGTTTAAACATACAATGAGCTCCTCACCACATTTCCACACCAACACAAACTGTAGATATTTGAAGATCCATAACATGTTTTCACCCCATTCAGATGCTCCTGAAACCTTTGTCCATGCCTCTGTTACCTTTTAGATTTGATTATTCCAATGCATTCCTGTTCAGCCTCTTATACTTACCTACCACCCCTACCCAGAAACATGAGATCACCAAAACTCTGTTGATTGTGTACTTGCCCACCCTAAGTCCCATTCACTCTTCAACTCCACATTCACTGACCAAATTTTCTCCTGCTCAAGCAAAGAGCAAGCTTTAAAAATTACATCTTGTTTATAAAACCCTCCCAATGATGAAAGGTGATTTTTATCTTCCATGTTCAAATCCAAAACATTCAGGTTACCAGAAATTAGATGACACTATCAGATGCTGATGTAATGTTTGATTTTTGAACTGATTTGATGATAAATTCTCCCCTTCTAAAATCCTGGGAAACCAATAGAAAACAAAGAAGGGAATGAGAGAGACCCCACAAAAACAAATTTAAATTGAGCTCAATAAATCATACAATTTCTTGAGCTGAAACTAATGAGTCTTGAACTGTTTGTTGTAAACATTCAACTGTTTCAAATGTCCTTCTGGGAACAAAGCATTAACACCTGTTGGATCGACAGTAGAATCTGCCCTACAATAGAGCAGAGAGAGATAATGGGTTCGTCGAGGTTGAGCAATAGAGATTTTATAAACAAAATCCTGAACCTCCTATAAGAGCCGTGGCAGCAGGTGTATAGTAACAATCTTATCACCAAATTGATCTTCAACTCACACACTACTGACCTGTGTTGCCATCCAGTTCTGAATGGGCAGAAATTTCCTCCATTTAACTGTTGAATATTGGGAAGTCTGAAGCCATTGTCTTTAGTCTCAGCCACCAATTCCACTCTCAAGCCCCTGAATTTGTCTCTCTCCCTGGGCATCATCTGAGGCTGAACTACATAGTGTGCAATCATGCAAATGTGATTACGTTGTACACGTTTATGTTTTGGATAAGGCATATCAGAAATGTCCTTCCCATCAGCTGATTGCAAAAGGGTTACAAGACACAACTTACAATTATGGGCAAGCTCTCCTGGGGGAGTCAGAATTGGAAATAAAGGATTCACAACATTCTTTACTCCTGTGACCTAGTTCACAATGGCCACAGTAATCAACCTGTTAAACATTATCCCTCTTTGCCATTGTCTGATCCTCTATTTGAAGATACTATTTACTCAGGCTCCTTAGCTTCTGCTGAGAATCTTTGTGTGACTGAACAGAGTCACAGGTCTTCGGACACATGGGGCTGGATAGTTGGGGGAGTTGGATTTGAAGCTGGATCAAGAGACTTGAAATGTTGCCTCTGTTTTTCTCTATAGATGGTGCCAGACCTCTAGAAACTCCTCCAGCGTTTTTTTTTTGTTTGTTTTTTGTTGCAGGATGTGTCGCCTGTTCCTTCCTTCCTTGCCACAGCTTTGCCTCATCAGCTGGATTGACGAGTTGCGATTATTCTGAACTTTTGCTCATGACTCTCCACCTACAAAGATGGTGGTTACACATGTGCCCTGCTGCTCATTACTCCATTAAAGATTGGCACCTTTTACCCAGGCATTCGCTAGATTCATAGCTGTTTCCAGTGCCATACTCTTACTGTGTGTGGATCCGAAGAACGATTATCCCACAGTCTATAGGTGTGAGGCTGGAAAAGCACAACCGATCAGGCAGCAGCCAAGGAACACTAAGTCAACCCATCATTAGGGTTAGGGCCATTGCCATTAGTCTTTCCACACATGTTCCATGTCCCCTTTAGCACTGCACCTGTCCACTGCTTTCCTATTATGTAGATAGATGTTCCAAGACCATGGTGACCGATGTGTAACTCATTTCCATTGAAGGCTTGAATTGATTCATATTAATTTGCTTTTACATAACTATAACCTGAGAGTGACAGTATCAGTTTGAAAAAAGACACATCTTTATCAACATTAACTGTTGTCTCACTTGTTCCCCATGAATGTGAATGGCACACCATGTGTGTCAGCATCAACTGTGTCTTGGCAGATTGCTAGACATACATGAACAAATCTTCTGTGTGTTATATTTGATTTTTTACAACATGTCTCTATTTAATTCAAATAGCATGAGGCTGATCGTCCACCAGGATGATTTATTTGAACAATATTAATAAATCAATGTTCCTTGTTTTGAAGTTTTGTCTCTCGTGCTCCAGTATCCATTGTTGCTTCTTGCTTTGATTTTAGCCTATTACGTCATTTGGTATCCTTTATGGAGTTCCATTTCCTATCTGTATCCACCTAACAAGTCTCATGTTCTTACTAAATTTGATAATGGTTCAGGATATGTCATGCAGAATGACATGTAACGCTACTTCTGGAGGTGGGTGTTGATTATACAGCATGTTGCATACAGGAGTTATTCTTTCTTTAAGATTTCTATCTGTAACATTGAATGCTGCTACCATTTTGGACACGGAAATGTATTTTTTTTCTGAGACAAGACAAATGTCTGAAACATCGGATCTGTTCCATGACCATGTGCGTGCAGTCCACTGATAGAAAGCACTATTGCAGGCTGTTCCTTGCCCCCTCAGCAGATCACCTGCCTTTTCATATTCCACGTGTCATCACTCTACCCTTCAGGCTGTTGTGGCTGTATCAAGTCTTCTGCGCTAATTGATTCGACACACCTCCTCCCTATCTACAGGAATTGCTCCCCAGACTATATTGCCAGTCGGTTACGAAAGGCAATAAGCAAAACCTGTGTTTCAGATCAAGCCACAACCAAGTGGTTCTACGAGTAAAATTTTCAAGTAAAATGAAACGCAGCATAGCTAATGTTTCCTCTCATAATTTGTGTGAAGAAGTTTCAGAGGAGTTTACTAATTTTCCTCCTCTATGTGAAACAGATTGTAGTCGTTTCAGTGTTCTTTTATCTGGACGGGTTTTGCTTTCCCCTGCGCTTGACCATTCTAATGCAGTGACTGAGCCACTTATTGGCCTCGGGACATGAATAGGACCTGTCAATTTTAAAGGGCCACTGTTAAGCCTTACCTATAAGCTTGTCTCCCATTATTCCCTGTTTTCACTCAAACCAGCACCTGGAACCTTAACAAAACTGAACAAAAGAAAAACTCACTTCGAATGGGATGGCACTGCCAGTGGAATGAAGAGCTTCAAAGGAGCAGTATCAAACCCACGACCTGGGATTAAAAATCTCTTACTGTACTAACTGAGGTCGCTGGACACGCAGTCATACTTTAACCACGCCTCTTATGAAGGCGAGGTAACGGCTTAAAACCATACAATGAATTAAATTAACCATCAGAGCTCGCGATGCCGCTGTTTTCTGCTCAAAATTTGATGTAATCATTAAGATTCCACTTAGCTTGTGATTCCATCTCAACATTGACATCGTGTTTCATCTCTTCCTGGATTTAACATTGGTTGTCTGTCTTGTGCCTTTATTTTGAAATCAGATTCGCTCCAATATCAACAGAACTAAATGATAAACTCGACAGATAAACAACAGAGTGGATCCCATCTAACACATCCTCAATCATGATGTGGAGGTCCCGGTTTTGGACTGCGATAGACAAGGTCAGAAGTCACATGACACCAGTCCAGCAGGTTTATTTGAAATCACAAATCATGAAGCCACTTCACCTAACGAAGAGAGGCAGCGCTTAGAAAGCTTGTGATCTAAAATACACCTGTTGGTCTATAAGCTCGTGTCGTGTGACTTCGAACATATCCCCAGAGCTCACGTTCAGATTTCCAAAGGCCAGTTTTCAAATAAAATAAAGGAATTAAGCAGTTGAGAACATTTAGAAAAGTGATGAGTGATTTTTATGGGTAACTGGCTCCCGGGCTTTGGAAATGCTGCTCAGAGGTTTCGTGATCAGGACATAACCCCATCTGTTTTCCTGAGCCTGTGTTAGGTGTATTGGAGGTTTGGCCCGTACTGCAGAATCTCGCACCCCAAGGATTTGTGGTAGACCCCAACTGAAGCCGCATTGTTGCTTTTCTAATTCATATTCATATTCCAGGAGCCAGCATCATTACTGTGTCACGATAGTTGAAGGGCATCACCGCTCTTGCCGTGTGACGTCATAGTGCAGCTGGAAGCCCCCGCGACAGTTTATTAAAGAAACCTCACTGAGGGTCAGACAGTCCTGCAGCGGGAAGCATTTGGATGGCCAACCACAATCATTTTACGTGTGTGGAGATCTCCAAATTAAACAGTTTCGAGACATTGTTGGCAGGAAAGGATCGGAGAGTATAGGACTGGAATATTGCTGCTTTTATGTTTCTCCCTATGTTGTTCCCTATGGAGCTGAGGAAAATGAATCATTATCGGGATGTTTGAAACCAAGAATATTAGGCTTCTGAAGATTCAAGTGTAGGAATACGGTCAGTTAATTGTCTTTTTACTGTGTTTGTAAGAATATTGATATAAGATGGCTGGGCGTATGTGTACTAGATATTCCCAGAACAATCAATAATTGGAGAATGTCTTCTTGCAGGCAATGTCCCCATTGACATGTCGGATATGTGAGATTAGAAAACAATAAAGATAATAGGAACATAGAAACAGGAGTAGACCATTCAGCCCCTTGGGCCTCGCCCACCGTTCAAACAAATCACGGCTGATCTGAGGCCTAATTCCATTTACCTGCCTTTGACCCAGATCCCTTAATACATTTGCAGAACAAAAAAAATCCTTCTCAGATTTAAAGTTAATAACCGATCCTGTATATTGTGCAAGAGAGTTCCAACCGTCTGACAAACTCCGTGTGAAGAAGTGCCTTTGAACATATCCCCTGAATGGTCTGGTCCCAGTTCACGGATTATGCCCCATTTCAACTAACAAATATTTTAGTGAACAGCCGAACATGCTGACTAAATGCACCACAGAGTCTGAGGCGTAAGAAAAAATCTGTAAAATCCCTGAAACCCGGGTATCAGCGAAAACAACTTCAGATTGCAGTTACAGAAGTAGCAATTGCCCTCTACATGTTTACTCTTCCAAAATGAAGTCTGGAACTTTCATTGTGGAGGCATTGCAAATGCCATGAACCAGCCCTGTGTGCGGCCACACGCAAAGTGATTCTGCAGCCTGTATGCCATTTTGTTTTAGTTTCAAATGCAGTGTCACTTCTGTCTCTCTTCAGAAACACGAACATGCTGAGCCTAATGGGGTCTGTCTCCGCTGTAATCAAATTATGGTTCTATAGCACCATCATTGCTTTAAGTATTGATCGAGTAGGTCAAAACTAGGTTTAAAAGCCAATGAGTTCATAATTTGCCGTCATTGATTCGCACCGTATTCAAACTTTAACCAAGTGTCCACGGAAATAATTAGCCAACTTCTGGAAGAAACGCTTCCAAACACACCTGAGGAATTTCGGTTAGGTGGGTCTTGAACTACAAATAGAAGGAAGGGACGTTTGTCTCGAAACTGTTTAATTTGGAGATCTGCACACGCGTAAAATGATTGTGGTTGGCCGTCCAAATGCTTCCCGATGCAGGACTGTCTGACCCTCAGTGAGGTTTCTTTAATAAACTGTCGCGGGGGCTTCCAGCTGCACTATGACGTCACACGGCAAGAGCGGTGATGGCCTTCAACTATTGTGACACAGTAATGATGCTGGCTCCTGGAATATGAATATGAATTAGTCATGGGTCACGTGGCACCGAATCATTCAATGAAATGTTATTACATCTCCAACTATTTACATTTGTACATTACAATCACAGGCACTTCCGTGTCTGACTTTAAGTTAAGCAACTCTGGGGAATCTACGATAACAAGGTGTAGAGCTGGATGAACGCAGCATTCAGAGGAGCAGGAAAAGCTGACGTTTCGGGTCTGGACCCTTCTTCAGAAATGGAGGGCCCAGAACCGAAACTCAAGCTTTGCTGCTTGGTCTGCTGTGTTCATCCAGCTCTACACGTTGTTATCTCAGATTCTCCAGCATCGGCAGTTCCTACTATCTCTGGGGAATCTATATTTCTATTAAGGATATTTATGACGCTTTTTCTAGGTGAAGTTCGAGAAATATTGTGTCCTACTGACTGAATTTACTGGGCAATAACCGGAAAATGGGAATTGCTATCGGTCCGCGTTTTTTTTTAAGCCCTCGAAGATCCTTTCTGTCTCGTTGTCTCTGTCCCGGATCCACCCTGTGACATACCGACTGGAATTAGTCCCCCCAGAAGCAAGTTTAGAGCTGAATGTATGGAGAAGAAAGAGAAAGTTCGAGGAGAGGGAAGTTGAGACAATGAAGTAGAGAAGAGCCGAATGAGCGAGCCAGAAGGACGGACAGACAAATGGGGAAGTTGTTCAGAGGGACAGAAGAAGAGAGGGGGAGAGAGAGAGAGAGACAAACAGGCGTTAAATTTTGACTGCCGTTATCAGTCGTAATTCAAAAATCGTTGCGGTATGACCACTTCCTTAATAGTGCACAACAGCACTTTTGCCCGTATGAGCTTGTGGCGCAACGGTAGCGCGTCTGACACCAGATCAGAAGGTTGCGTGTTCAAATCACGTCAGGCTCATGGTGCTTACACGAAGCTGAATTCTAGGGACTTCAAACCGTAGCAGAGTTTGTTTTCTGTGGATGTTTACTGCTTAACTTCTTCTTTCTCGCTACTTTCGATTACACGGTATATTTTGTTGTCAGTAAATAATAACCGAAAGAACGGCGGGTGCTGTAAATCTGGAACAAAAACAAAGTTGTTGGATAAGCTCAGCAGGTCTGACAGCATCTGTGAAGGAAAAAAACAGAGTTAACGTTTCGGGTCCGGTGACCCTTCCTCAGTTCTGAAACGTTAACTCTGTTTTTTCCTTCGCAGATGGCTGCCAGACCTGCTGAGCTTCTCCAGCAACTTTGTTTTTGTTCCATAATTTGTTGTCAGTTTCATTTCTGAACAATGTTTCAGGCGTGTGGTGTGCCCAATATTGGAATAAATGCCCAGTTCCCTCAGGAGATGGGGATGGGGCTTGAGGTGGAAGGAGTGAATAGGTGGGAGGACAGGTTAGGGAGGCAGGTATAAGCTGGGCTGGTTTTGGGATGCGGTCTGGGGAGGGGAGATTTTGAAGCTTGTGAAATCCACATTGATACCATTGGGCTGCAGGATTCCCAAGCGAAATATGAGATGCTGTTCCTGCAACCTTCAGGTGGAATCG